AATGGAAGTCCAAAATATCTATAAATGTTCATTAAAATTATTAAAATAAAATATAAAAAAAAATTTTTAAAGTGTATTCTTGAAAAAAACCCCAAAACTAACATCATTGCTTTTTGGAACTTTGCAGAGTTCCCTGACAGCAGACTTTCCCACTGTTAAATGTCCTTTGATTTCTTGGCTGCTGGTGCCAAGGGTGTTGATTGTGGATCCTTTCCTCTGTATTCACTCTCAAACAGGCTGCCCTCCCTAATGGTGACTATCATTCACTAGCAATAGCAACTCAACAAAAATCAAGGGTTTTGGGGTTTGGTTTTGAACATCAAAGTGACAACAAAAATAACAAAACAAAAATGTATTCTCGTGGGCCTGGCCTGGGTCATCAGGTCTTTACTGAACAAAACACTGAGGCAAAGGAATAGAATATTCCTATCACGCAAGTTCAGGCCTCAGCTGTGAACTCACCCTGAGAAGCAGGTAGCAGTTTGAGGATTGAAGCATTGAGGCATTTCATACTGGCAGTTGTAAAGGACAATGGGTGTCCACTACCATCTTCTTAGTTCTTCTTTTCCCAGGAAGTCTGTCTGGGAACTACTACAATGAGATCACTGTACAACTGCTTAGTGTTTCCTACTTTGCAAAACACTTTTCACACCATCCCAACTTAATCTGCACAGCCAGCCCACAAGACAAGTGGCATCCCTAGACCCATTATACAGATAAGGTAACTGAGACTTAGGGACATCAAGTAAGTAAGGAAACACCAGAGCAACAGAGATGTGTGCAAAAAAAATAACCAGAAGAACACACTGACCCCAGGCAACTTCCTCTGTGTGACAAACTCCCCCACAGCCCCCCACATCCTCTCTTTCCTCCCCTCCCCTCCCCTCCTGGCCAGGCCACCTTCACATCCCCAGTGTGTAAGCCGCCTGCCACTCTCCCTTATCATTCTGAACCTGCCAGTTTCCACATTCTCCCTGACCTTTGCTCCTGGCTCCAGCCTGCTTGCTGCTGGGCCTGGCTGGGGAAACCTTGGGCTCACTTTCACTTGCTGCCTGCCTGTCCTGACCACTAGCCATGTGCACTGGGAAGTGCTCCCGGTTTGTGGGCCTGTCCCTCATCCTGCTCTCTCTGATCTGCATCGTAGCCAATGCCATCCTGCTGGTGCCTAATGGGGAGACTAACTGGACCAGCCATCTGAGCCTGCATGTCTGGCTCATGGGAGGGTTCATCGGCGGAGGCCTCATGGTAAGAAAGCTGGTGAGGTTGAGGGGCCAGGGGCTGGGAGCCATTCTAAGATGTTCTGTACCGGGGAGGGGAGAGAAGGAAAAAAGACAGATGCGGGAGAAGGGCGGAGTGGGGGGGGGGGGAGGAAGAGGCATCAGCACATGGTGAGGATTCCCTCTTAATCTCCCTTTGCACATACACAGCCACAGCCAACCACACAACCTCCCTCACTACTGAACACTCTCAGAGTCTTGAGCTGAATGTGTAAGCGGAAGGCAAAACAGGAAGTCTCACCACGGCTTCCCTTTCCCACAGGGAGCATGTCTACCTGTCTCCCACCCCCTATGACAGCTGAACAGATGCTGAGTATGGCTCCCTACAAGGGGCGAGGCAGAGAGAACACCTGGCTGCCAGGGAGGTTATCAGTATAAGACAATAAATAGGCACAGAGTGGGGTGCAGAGCCAGACAGCGACATCCCCGACCAGCCACTTCTCCCAGCTCCGTTCACCCTCTCTCTTCACCATGCTCATTCACCCTCAGCTAACTTTTCTGGGTGCCTACTCATGAGTCGTACTCAACTCCATGGCACCCAACAACGACAACTCTGGTGGTCAGCCAGCAGTTAGAATCCACCAGAAATCCTCCATGGAGAAAGATGGGTAATCTCCTCCTGTAAAGATTTACGGCCCTGGAAGGGATGAGTTTTGCTTTGAGTTAGACTTAACTCTATAGCCAGAGATAGTTTTTATTTACGTTATTTGAGTTGATTCCCCTCCCACCCACTGCTCCCCTACTCCGTGGACTCTGTGGTGGTGCAGATGGTTAACCTACGCAGTTGACCCAAAGGTTTCAAGAAGCAGCTCAGAACAAAGGCTTGACAATCCTCTGGGGTGGGTGTGGGTGGGAACCAGCCACTGAAAGCACCCTGGAGCACAGGTCTCCAGCAAGTGGGGTCACTGAGAGCAGGAGGAATTGACACCAAGGAGTCTGTTAATTCCAGCTTGACCCTGAGATTAAATCCAGCAGCGAGGACAGCACAGAGGTCCCATCAGTTGTTCATAGGGTCACTATGAGTCTTACTGGACTCAGATAGCATCTAACAACCAAACAACAACAACAGATCAGTCCCGTGGAGAAGGTGCCCTCAAGTCTTCCCCGAGGTTAGGACCTGCCAGGAAAAGTGGGGCAAGGGATGGCAACAGGCTTCCTTCACTTCTGAGCCTGTCCTCCTTTGATCCTCATCTGTTATTACTGTTGTTCATGACCTTTGAGGCAGTTGGGACTTACAGCAAACCACACACAACAGAACGGACCCGCTGCTGGGTCCTGTGCTCTATCCCCATAATCAAAGCTACTCAAAGGATAACATTGTGAAGAGCAAGCTAGTCTAACATCTTCATGAGATGAAGAAAAAAGATCTACTCCGCACAACTCCCATGTCTCAGAACTGTGAACAGACAAAGGAACTCTCGATTTCTTCCCTCCACCTCGTAAAGGGGACACCTCTCCTTTAACCAACAATCCTCCATTTGGGGGAGGGTCTTTTCTCCCATACGGGGTAGGAAAATAGCACCAGAGTCACAGCAGTAAATAGACTTTTGAAGGCATATGTGGTAAAGAAGAAAAAGGAAGGTGAAAATCAGGAGTGGTTGCAATGAGAGTAATATCTATGTGGGTCCAAAGATCAACAAGTGCAACAGTTCCACAGTATATACAATTTTAAAAATCATTCAAGACTTCGCCTTCCCTTAAGTTACTGAAAACCACTATATCTCACCAATCGTTTATAAAATAACCATGGGTGAGGTCTTCTTGGGAGCTCTGGCAAGAAGCTGTGCTACAATCCCAAAGGCATGAGGTTCGAGTACACCAAGCTGCTCTGCAGTACAAGAATGAGCCATTTCCTCCCGTGCAATTAACCGCCTATGAAAACTCGCCAGCAGCGGGTCAGTTCTGACTCGACAATGGTACACAACAACAACAACAACAACAAACAAACAAGATCTTCTTGGGCTTAAGTTTTTGGTGACAACTAGTCAGGGCAGTCTTTATTGATAAGAAGTTTCAGCAATTAGAGCTACACGGGCAGTGTGGTCTCCCACCTCCCCTGACTCCACAGGGCAAACAGCCTTCATCCACCACAACAGCATCCATGGCACAAAACCACATCCCATGAACTCAGATGGGTCCCCACATCCCCTCAGACACTTCAACCAACTCTAACACCAACTGTCCCTCTCGGAGCTTCCACGGCTCTGCTGCTGGGTGGGCAAACCTGCTGCAAAGCTCACATAGAAGCCCCAGATCCTGCTCATGATCACCAGGTTTACTAGGGAAATACAGGTTATAATTCAGTTTGGATATAGGATACCGTTCTTCAGTCAGGACATAGGCTCTTTGACCTTCAGCCTTGAAACTTGGAGTCAGAACACTGACAAAAATCAGAACACTTACAAAGTTCTCACTTAGCTCTGTGAGTGAAGGCATCTCTTTTGCCCCCTCAGTTCTCTTGCAAAATTAGGCAAAGGCCTCCAGCATCAGCTCCATAAGGCAGCAGTCCAGGGTCAGCTGTCTCACCTCAGTCTCTGATGGTAAATGCTACCACTGCTGTTGGGGTGAGATGGTATCTCATTGTGGTTTTGATTTGCTGCTTAGGCTGCTGTTGTCTGGTCCAAATGGTCAAGTGCTGGACTTTCTTATTCTTCTTTCTTGCTGGTACCAACATTCTCCTCTTTTGCCTCCAAAGCCACCTGGTTTAAACCTGGTGGGATGGCGAGACTGGCCAATTATCTCATTAGTAATTTATACACTCTATTTGCATGTTCCCATCCAAAGGTTGCTATTCACATCATTATTGTAATATTTATGTGGTGAAAGTTAAAACCAATGTGCTGGGAAAGACACTTTGAAAAATCTCTATTTTTGAAAATACTCTTTTGACCTAGTGGATAAAAAGTGATGCTACCAAGTCAAAGGTGGGTGATTTTAATCTGAGGCCCTCAGGCCTGGTTTTAATTGTTTTTCATCAAACATTCTTCTAAACGTCATAGCACTGGTCTGTGCATTGCTGTACAATGGTAACTCGCAGTAGCTGTGATGCTGAACAGTGTGACAGTGATGTGTCAAATGTGATAATGGTTACCATAGTGGACAGAGTTTGATGGAGCTCCCAGATTAAAACAAGCTTGGAAACAGGAGTGGCATCCACTTCCAAAATAGTTTGCCTCCAGAAACTCTATGAACTTGGAGAAACGATGAAAGTAATACAAGTATCTAGGTCTTTCATTCATAAGGTCATTGTGGGTCATCTACAGCACGATGACACTTAACAAGAACAACCACCACAACCACAATAGTCATAGAATAGTCTTAGAATCGGGTGCAACCTATTCTATTTAGCAATAGATGTAAAGCCTGTCCTTTCATACACCATCCTCACCTTCTCAGACACTCCATTGGTGCAATCACTATGTCAATCCACTTGGTTGAGGGCCTTCCTCTCTTTTGCTAGCCTTTCCAAGCATGATGTCCCTTTCTAAGTAATAGCCTCTCCTAGTAACATACCCAAAGTAAGTGAGACAAAGCTTTGTAATCTTTGCCGCCAAGCACTCTGGCTGCACTTTCTCCGGGACACACCTGCTTGTTCTCTTGGCTGTCCATGGGATATTCTGCGCTCTTCTCTAACACCATAGTTTTCTAATGCCACTGTCACAGAGATACCACAAGTGGATAGCTTTAATAAAAAGACATTTGTTCTATTACAGTTTAGGAAGCTAGAAGATCACATTTAGGGGGCCTGTTCTAGAAAAGGGGCCTCTTCTTGTCAAGTCAGGAGGAGGGTCCTTGGTTCACTCAGCATCTGTCAGCACATTGTTCTTGGAGCTCTCCACCCACATCAAGGATCACTCAGTGATCTGAGTCCAAAAGGGCATCTCTGCTCCTGAAAGTTTTTTCTTGGTGGTATGCAGTTTTTGCCTTTCTTCTCACTTTCCACCCCTATTATCTCTAGTGAGATAAAAGGGTTTTCAGGCCACACCCTAGGGAAACGTCCCTTGTGTCTATCAGGACATTATGTAATTCCATCAATAATCTCTTCAAGGAAATGTAGGCTTTTACTAGTAGTTGTTCAATACCTGGAGGAGGAACAGACCCATAGCTGACCCTCCAGCAGGTTTTCAGAGGCAGTAAATAACACATGAAGAGATTGCCCAGGCTTCCCCCAAGAAGCCACTGGTAGATTCAAACTGCACGCCTTTAGGGTTAGCAACATAGCTCCTTACCATTAAGTCACCAGAGGCACTTTAAAACTATTCCAGATTCAACTAATTTATTCAATTTTAAAATTGAAGCTATTTCTTAGTTATCTATTAGAGCAGCTGGTATGGAGAAAGGCTACAATCCCAATGCATATCTTTCTTAATTTTAAACCATGTAGAGATGCATTGCACTGAGAAAATCTGCAGTTAAGGATTTTTCCAAATTATCAAAGAGCAATGATGTCAGTTGGAGGACAAAGGTGCGCCTGATTCAGGCCTTGGTCTTTGCATCTGAGAGCTAAACAATAAATAAGGATGACAGAAGAATGGATGTCTTTGAACTGTAATGTTGGAGAAGAGTGCTGAATAGCCCATAGGCTGCCAAAAGAATGAGCTGGTATGTCTTGGTGAAGGTGCAGCCAGAGTGTTGCTTGGGCACAAAGATAATATAGTCTCACATATTTCAGGCATGTTGCCAGAGGAGGTTATTCCTTAGAGAGGAGGGTCAGTGAAAGAGAGGAAGACTCTCAATCAGATTGATTTACATCGTGATTGCAGCAATGGGCTCAAGTATGCCAGATTGTGGGGTTAGTACAGGATGAGATAGGGTTCAGATCTATTGTTAATAGAGTCACTATGAGTCATACTTGATGGCATCTAACAACAACAACAATTAGAGCAGCACCCCCCTCTCAGTACCAAGTGCTGAGTTTCTAGAGAAGTAAAACCAATGAAATGTTATGTACATATAATATATATGTAT